TGCCTCCACCACCTGCCCGGGTGTGTGATGGCAGACAAGTCACTTAGCTGCTCAGCACCCGGTTCCTCATCTTTAAGTGGGAAAACTGCCACCATCGGCTGCTGAAGGATTAAGTAGGAGAACGCAGGCAAAGCACTAGGCATGCAGCGAGCACTTGCTGCAGGGGTAGTAACAGTGGTTTGCACTGAAGTTGAGTGGGTAGAGGATTCGATGAATCAGCTCTGGAAAGTCTGTGTGATTCTTGAGCAGGGAGTGGGCTTCCATTGACATGGGCTTTAGGAAGGTGAATCCGACTGGTCTGCAGCGTTGATGAAGGGAAGAGTCTGAAGACGGGCTCTGGCAGGAGGCTGAAGAGTCATCTTGGCTTGATTGTTTGAGGCACTGAATTAGGAAGGTGTAGTGAAAACCGAGGGAAGGGGAGTGTGGGTGGAGGGGAGAATCTGCAGGAGCGTCATGTAGAGCTGGTGGCTTCCGATGGAGTTGGAAAGACAAGTGGGATTAGTCCAGGTGATCTCCAAAGTTTGAGTTGTAGAAGCTGGGTGAGCCAGTGACAGAAAGGGGGACACCCATCCCTTAGTTGGAGGAAAGTTGAGGTAGTCAAGGCCCCAAGAAGGCAGGGACTTTGCCTGTGTTCTCCTTACGTCCTCAGCACGGAAACAGTAGTAACTCACAGACAGCAGAGGCCCAGAGAGTATTTTTTAATGAATGGATAGATAGATAGATGATAGATAGATAGATAGATAGATAGGGAGATAGGGAGATAGGGAGAGAACAGTGTGCGCCTACAAGTAAAATAAACTCTAAACAATAATATGAAGACAATAGTTTTTATATTGTTAACTATAAATAACCCTTTAGTGGAAATTATACAAAGGTCCGTGTTTAATCTCTGAAGACAGATATCTGTTTCTCAAGGAAAAATAGAAAACAGTTCATCCAGTAGAAAGTAGTAACTTGAAACTCGAACACTGATACAAAGGGAATATTGTAATTCAGAGAACATAAAATAAACATATTTAAAGTGGGGGTGGGGGGCCCTGTTCCGGTTCGTATTGTTTTATCCCTTCCATCCTGGGAGCAAAGAATAAAAGAAAAGGATGAAAGGAACCCCTTGCTTGCTTGTTAGAAGAAGAAAGCTTGCACTTGAAGTTCCTACCGGGCAGATGTCTGCTGAAAGCTGTGCTTATGGAAGATGCTGCCGTGTCAAACTCTGTTGGGTGATTTTAGACGAATGTGTCATGTGCGACATGGAAATGCGGCGTGCTGCACATTAGGGATTTCCCGAGTGCTCGCATCAGGCAGTGACGTGCCGCGAAAGGGCTCTTTATCTAGCCACACGGTGTGCGTGTAGAGCAGTGGGGAAATGCTTTGGGTGGAAATTACTTTAGTCAGAAAAAGAATCCATTTACAGTGTGCGCCTTCAAACATCTTTCAGACAATGCATTGTATTAAAGAGGCATTTTTTGATTAATGTTTTATATACATTTTTCAGCATGACAGCTTATAGTCCCTGTAAAATTGTAAATGCATGCCTAGTGTTCACTTCCATAAAGTCGGATGCCACCTCATAAAGTCTCGTTGGCTCCTGTCAGCCATGGTGACACAGAATCAGTACCTGGGTGCATTAAAATTAATTTCCTTCATGTATATTACTGCAGTGATGGCGAGATGAAAAGAGTCCTATATTTAAATTTTACTTTTAAAAGAAAACTCTTTCTAGCTAGTTGGTGTGTTTTTTTAAATCATTGCGCTTTTTTACCTAGTTAGTGAATGTAATAAACATGGAGCCGTAGTACGGTAAAGTTATGATGGGATCTGGAAGAATACAAACCCATCCATTCAACGCACTCCTCTTGAGCACCTGCTGGATGCTCAGAGCTGAAGGAGAAATGGTCTCAGACCCTAAGAAGCTGAGCTCAGTGAGGAAAACACACAATGATAGCAAGTGCTGGGACCCTGGGCTGAGATGAGCCCCAGGTTTGGTGAGCACAGAGCTAGAAGCCAGCGTTGGATGCAGCTTGAGAACGAAGGGCTGAAAGATTGAGCCGGCCAAGAAGCGGGTGATGGGCATTCCAGGCAAAAGGAGCTCAAGTGCGAAGGCCCACAGGCGGGACAGGGCGTGGGAATGGCGCGTGGCTGGGCTGGTGACGAAGGACGCACAGGGGCTCCTCGTGGCTGAGCACAGAGGCGGGAGAGGGGAGGGGTGAGACACAGAGGGAGTGGGGGCCAGTCAGAAGGCCCTCGTCCCGCATGATAAACGCCTGCCTGACTTGACATGATCAGATTGTGCTCAACAGCCGTCACTGGTGCAGAGGGGAAGATGGCGTGGACAGGACAGCCTGTCTGGAGGTGGTGTGGGAAGTCCATCACAGGCAGGAGAGACCTTCCTCCCGTGAGGTGGAGGGTGGATTCGGGTCCACAGAAGGTAGAGGTCACTGTACCCTGGAAGCTTCTTGAGGATAACGACTTGGCTCGTCTCTGTCTCTCTCTTCGGGGTGGTCCCCACAGTCGCTTAGTCCCTCGTCCACATGAAGTCACAGGAGCCCCTTTAAGGAGAATAAGCCCACAAGGACTTCTGCCTGGAAAGCTTTCTGCACACCAGGCCCTGTTCTGCTTCGAGGAGTTGCAGTCCCCATGGCGTCTGAACTGAAGACCTCGGCGTCTCCCCTGACATGGGGAACAAGTTGCCTTCGTGGCAGTTCCGACGTCACCATGGGGAAAATTTCCATTTCCTCACTAGGAAAACGGTGCACAGGGTAGTTTTCATCAGCCTCCGGGTTATTGCCAGGCCTAGTTCAGTTAAAGTGGGAAAGCGCGAGACGGACGCGCATGGCATCTAGTAAGCGCTCAGTACCCGCGAACCATTTTTACCCTTAGCATTGCTGTCTCTCTACCTAATCCGTCACACCCAGGTGGGTTTCTCATGTCTCAGACACTAGGACACCTTGTATGTCTTGCAGTCGGTTTCCTGTTGACTTACAGTAGCAGCAGCCGCCTGACTGTCTCCCTGGCTTCCCTCTGTGCCCAGTGACTCTGAGCCCGAGGCTTAGCCAAGAAAGGAGACCTCAGGCGTTTTAGCCCAGCAGCCACGGTCCTCGAATTTGGGGTCAGAAACCCTGCTCTGATCACCTTTAGAGGCAAATATCCCCATATTTCATGCGCTCCCTGAAGCCCCACCTTTCCTTCACCCCCATCCCCAGCTTCTCTGCGTCATTCCTTTGGACCAAGTCATCTTTCCTGGAAACAGGGTAGGTGTGTTCACATCGTCTCCTTTTTTCATTGGAACAACTTTCCAATGTCAGATGTGGCTTTTCAACTGTGAACAGATTGAGCATATTGTTTTTTAAAAGAAACCTTTGACTTTTCTATTGGCAAGAAGACAGAAACTGTGCAAAAACCTCAACCTGAGCTTTTGAAGCTCTGAAGGATGTTGTTGGGAAGAGTAGAGTGTTTTCCGTTTACAGCAATGACATGTGAGGCTAGGAGAAGAAAGCAGCTGTGAAAATGCATGTTTAGTAAAGGTGTGAAACTTACCAGAAGTACAAATAATTGAAAACGCAGAGCTTTCCCTCACCGGGTTATAATAAAAGGTGATTTCTGTGCCCTCACTGTGCATGCTTGGGAGCTGGGGTCCTTTTCAGAAGCTATTCTAAAGAAACGAGGAGAGAGCTAAGCTATTATAGCGATTCAGGTGACAGAGCTGACACACGTACACACCAGTCCTGACCACCGGGCCATATTAAAACCATTGGTAATAACAGTTCAACTGCCAGTGTCTGGATTGTGTTATGGAAGCTTAATAGATACACACCAGAGTCAGCTGCTTACAAGATACGCACACCGTGCCCTTGGTGCAATAGTGTGTAGACTCAGGAAGTAGTATTCATGTACCTGAACTCCGTTAAAACTTTCAATGTGGGTTTAAACAGTCAGCACTAGTCTGAGTCCGCCTGCCATACGCAATGTTGTATAGCACGCCTGAGACCCTTGGCCAAATGAGAACATGCAAAGCCTTTGTTAATGTTCATTTGGCTAAAGTACCTCCTCCTTACAGCGGTGTATACCATACATTATCTGACTATATCCTTCCAGCTCTCAAAAGTGAACTTTGGGGCTTTGAAATGGTGCCAGGAAGGCCTCTGTATTCCACGACTAAGCAAGAAAGAATCTATTTTGAACTTTGGCCTCTCTGGGATTTAGCCTTCCTGAAGCAGCCCTATTCCACACTATCTCCTCCCCTCTCCTTGGGAGACAGGCTGCTCATGCAACAAGAGTTATTGGTGCCCTCAAATACCGAGCACCTTTTGAGCTTTCATTGGTTCCAGGTAGAGCTCAGAGCTTACGTAGTGAAAGAGGATGCACCGACTCGGTGACTCACTTGAGACCTTCCCTTTCCAGTCCTGTGAACTCCCCGGGAATGTGGCCATGACCTATTCCAGTGATGTCGAACCTACGACACGCGTGTCAGAGGTGACACGTGAACTCATTTTTTTGGTTGATTTTTCTTTGTTAAATGGCATTTAAATATATAAAATAAATATCAAAAATATAAATCTTTGCTCTGGCTGGTTTGGCTCAGTGGATAGAATGTCAGCCTGCGGACTGAGGGGTCCCAGGTTTGATTCCGGCCAAGGGCATGTACCTTGGTTGCGGGCAGATCTCCAGTAGGAGGTGTGCAGGAGGCGGCTGGTCGATGTTTCTCTCTCATTGATGTTTCTAACTATCCCTCTCCCTTCCTTTCTGTAAGAAATCAATAAAATATATTTTAAAAATATATATATATATATAAATCTTTGTTTTACTATGGTTGCAAATATCAAAAAATTTCTATATGTGACATGGCACCAGAGTTAATTAAGTTAGGGTTTTTCAAAATGCTGACACGCCGAGTTCAAAAGGCCCGCCATCACTGACCTTTTCCAAGTTCCAGTGTTAGCGGAGAAGGTCCTTAAATGGCGACAGACTGAATGTGCTCTCGGTTTCCTCCCTTTGCCCGCCAGGAATCCCGATGCTGAAGATCGTGTTCGCAGGCCACGAGCACCTCTCCTTAATCTCCGTCCCTCTGCTCATCTACCACCCGGTGCAGATCCTCCTGGGCAGCGTGCTGGTGCCCACGATAAAGTCGTGGATGGTGTCGCGGCAGAAGGTGGGACTCCGGACAGATCTTACTTGGATCCGAATCAGATTGAAATGCTGTTTCTGAATGTTAGCTGTTCACACACTGCATGTTCTCATTCTCAGGGGACGTATTTCCTTAACTAAATCCAACAATGATGCATGGATCCACTTCAGTGTGAGCAGGAGGGTTGAGGTTAAATGTTTTGTATGGTTGTAAAAGTACAATTATACTTAAAATGCAGCTTGTAAAGCTCCTTTCCATTTGCTCATACTGAAGGCCATGGTGCAATGGGGTGAATGCTCAGTAAATACACTCAAAGCACATGTGACCCGTGAGCCAGCCAGCAGCCGGCTCTGGCCCTGCTCACTGGTGACCTGGGGCACATCACTCCTCTGCCCCTCAGTGTCTGCCACTCGAGGACTGACGCTGATATCTCCTCCTCGGAGCTGTGGGAGAGCGTGTGGCAGGTGTCTGACAAAAGCTAGCTGCTGTGGTTCTCTGTGCTGTCACTGTTGTCCATTAGTGTCTGCAACACTGCAGCAGCTCCGCTACCCCCGCTGTACAGGTTGGGGAATAGGCTCAGAGAGGGAGCAACTTGCCCCAGGCCATGTGGGTGCTTTAGTCCATGTTAGAGTTAGGACTTGAACCCTGGTCTCTTTGGCCCCCAAAACCTTTCCCCTGCACCATGAGGGCACTCCGGACAGAAATACACATTGCGTTTCGAAGGAGCACCCCAGGTCCCCAGGATCCTACCTGGAAAGATTAACGCATCCAACACCATCGCTCATTTAGTTACTTAACAAAGTGTTAGTGAGTGCCACTCTGTGCTGGGCACGGCTCCAGGCCTGATCCTCCCCTCAGGGTTGGTAGAGGGGCATGTTAGTGCCTTATTCTTTACTGTTTACCTATTTTGAAAACTTTCACATATACTTAATGTTTATATTTATCAATGTATGTGTGCATTATAGACCAGAATTTCTACATATAAATTTTGACAGAGAATGGAGAAAGTTATCCAAAAATCCTGATGCCCTAATAATGATATATAGCCATAGCAAACAGCAGATTAATCGGAGTGAAACTTTCTAAATATTTCAAAGCTCTGGCATTCGTTCTGCAGATAAGAAGCATTTCCAAGGGGGAGACGACATTGGACAGTGCTGTTCATCTTCCCACACTGGGGCCACTGTCTAACTTAGAATAACCCAGAGGCTTAGGGTGTCATCCCTCCCATTTGAGCACCAAAACAAACACAAAGCACCCATCCCAAGGGTATGCACAATTGCCCTCAGATAATACCATTGAGACCTGCAGCCAGCTCCAGTGCACAGGGGACTGTGTGAGTGGCCAGGCCAGGCTGGGGAGGTGGGCGGGTGATGTCTGTGTCACAGAGGTTTGGGTCCCTGGTTACCTAGTGCTATCTGGGTGGGCCTCTTCCTTCTCGGAGCATCGATGATCTGGTGTTTATTGGCACTTCCACTCGGCTCATGGATGCTGTCCAACTCTGAACTGCATGTTCTCCTCTCTTGCAGGGAGTGAAGTTGACGAGACCAATCGTATAGCGCAGGAGGTGCCCGGCCTGCGGCGATGTACATATGTACAGGGTTGTGCACAGTCCTGAGACTCGTACTTGTGAATGTTGCTCCGATGCATATTTTATTTTTTTACACACAGAAAATGATATAACTGTTGAAGTGCCTTAAAAATGTATTTGACAAGAGCGTTATTTCCAAAACCGACTTTGTTGGTTACTGCCAGGGGTGGTGCAGTATTTTGGAGTTGTTTAATATTTCTTTTCCTAACGCAGGGAACAGTCATCGTAAGTGACAAAAGCCCCAGCTTTGTGCATACAACTCTGTCATGGTTACTGTACTGTTCAAAAGGAGGTCGTACCATCAGAGAAATGCCCTTCCGAAGACGGGGACTACTTCCAAAGTCTTACTCACAAGTACTTTGATTTACTGTGTGATTTTCTTCTACAACTGTGACATGCCTTTTATCAACTCCACAGGAGTCATAGACTGAAAAGCATAATTTATCTGCATTCCTTGACATCATTTTTTTAGACATTCCTTCAAATAGTTTCCACACAGAAATTCCTCTGTGCCATGATCAGAAATTGTGATAGTATGTGTCTTAAATTTACTATAAGCTGCTTCAAAGAAAAGACCTGGTGGTGGAGTTATGGTCAATTAAGTGACGTTTTGAGGAAAACTACAAGATATGGTTTTCAGGATTTTCAAAATCATAGATGTTTCATTTTTCTTCCAATTTAATTTCTTTCCTATTTTCCAACACACTCGCAAACTCATAATAGCCAAATGTGAGACACAAAAATGTTATCAGTCTGAGAGCATCAGTGATTAATGATGGACTGTATTCACATTCCACGACTGAGAAAAACTTTTCCTGTTACATAGATGTGCTGAGCACAAATCACCCCTGTTAGCCAGAAGCAGCCTGTTACATCCTTGAATTAAGCACACTTACGGCATTTGAGACAAGTTATAAATGAAAATTTCCTTGGCAGGCTTGACAAACGATTGCGACATTTAAAAAAATTTAAATCAGATTGCTGTTATGAATAAATGGAAATATGAAGGTCATAGATGCAAACAGATGTTACAGATACACATTCTTTCTACCCAAATGGAAAAAAAAAAATGGACACAGAAAATGCAAAACCATTTATTGGCCAAATTATTAAGTAAAATTCATTCCCAATTGGGCTTCAGCTTTCAAAACAGTGTTGAATATTTGCCTCTGCGAGTGAAGAGCATTCACTGGACCCAAAGAGAGAATAGAGCAATATGTAAAGTCAGGGGAACTCTCTGCTTCCTGCACACCCTCTGTGACATCCTCTCCATGTGTCTTTCTTGATCTGACAGACAAGATCGGCGCCCGAGAGCACACCGGGGCCACGCTGTCCTCGGCAGCTGTCCTGTTGTTTTGTCAACAAAAGAAAAATCATTCCTTAGAAACCGATCAAGTTCATCAATTGTGTGACTTTGTATTCTTGTTACTACCAGGTCTCGTCTCCTATGGGCTTCTTCTGACTCATTTCAACATCACTGAATTTCACAAATTTCAGAACAGTTATCCTCAGTGTCAATTTTAAAGCCAGTGCCAGACCTTGCGTAAAACTACGCTAAATGGGCTATTTGTCAAGAATTTTCATTGTCGAGACTTTTGTAATTTTGTTTGATACTTTGGATGCTTACAAATGGAGCTCAGAAAGGCTTTTGTGTTCTGTTCCTGTAAACATCTTTAAAGTTCAGAGTAAATGAAATTGAGTTACAATAAAAGCTAGCATTAGAATACTGTTTTTCCCCCCAACTTATCTACCTCTCTTGTCAAACACCTATAGTAGGTGTGTGATTATGGGATAATATTCAACGGAAAATACTATAACATCTTTTGCTTTAAAAAAAAAATCTTTTTTTTTTAATAATCTACATGGTGAATGTTGGTGGCTTTAGTGATATGTTTATGCCTATTTTTTTTACACAAATGCTGTGGCATATTTTTCCATCAAGGAAAAACAGAATTAAAATTTATTTTTAATTCATGTTTATTGGGATTTAATTATTCATGTCTGAAAATACTTTATTATGTTTATGTACTGTCAAGCTATCTGTTCTATGCATTTGTTTTGTCTAAGTGTATTTATGAAAGAAATAATTAGATTATATTTATGTTTACCCATTTTTCCACCTGGATTTTTTTAATGGCTGTTATGAAATTTGATTATTTTAGTGGGTGATAATGTTCATCTCTTCATATGTTCTTTTCTAAGTTTTAAAATTTTTGTGGGTTTTTTTCAAGTTCTTTCCTATTCTGTTTGAAATTAACACACCTCTGGCTAATGTTCAGTGTTTGTTTATGCTAAATACCAAATTTTTTCAAAAGGATTGGTAAAGTAATAAAGTGGATTATTTATGATGAATGGAAGATGAAAAGGATTCTATGATTAAACAAAGAAATGTTTCAGAAATCACAAGAGAACCTGTGTCTTATTTTTAGCCTGATTTCAGATGCACTCACAATGCCTTCTGAGAACCTACAGATTTCTCTTGAGTCACCCAAATACTATTGCATCATTTGTGGTGAAAGAGACACAAGCTCCACCATCTTCCCAGGTTTCCATCTCAGTACTTTCTCCACACCATAACTTTAAAGCCAGAAACAGCCCTGGCTTTTGTATCAGAAATATATGTGTTCTCTGCATCAGAGTTGAGGACCAAAAGAGAAACATACCCAACAATAGTGATAGATTTTAGGTGATCTGAATGCTTGTTGCCCTTGTTATTCTTTTGAGAGATAGAAAAGATGAGACCTTAGAATGCCTTTTCCAAACCCCATGTTTCCTTATGAGCAAGTTACTTTGTTTGAATTCCGTGCCTCCGTGTTCTTCATTTGCTGAGCTTGGTTAGCAGTCTCTTCTCCCTGTGGGGCTGACAGAAGGGTCAGCTGCCCCACCTGGCTTTCCTGTTCGCACCAGGGCAAGGCTGGCCCCCGTGATGTGCCCTTGGAAGATGCCTCCAGTCTTCTCAAACCTTTGCATCGTCTGATTGTTACTTTAGGTTTCTGTCTCCTCCAACACAGTCTTCATCCCCATTTTCCTTCTGTGCCTGAAACAGTGCCTGGCTCGGAGTAGCAGCCACAAAAATGTGTATTGATTTTCCAAACTGTGATCTTAATAGCTAGGTCCTCACCTTCAAAATTTTGAGAGCTCTTACTATAGACTCCCTTTGAGTTAGTTGTTTACCTTGGCTATATACCAAAAGTGAGGTTGCTGGATTATGGACGTTCTATGTTTAATTTCATGAGGATCCCCCATACTGTTTTCCATAAGGACTCTTTCTGCAGTGCTAAACTGAACCCCCCCCCCCCAAAAAAAGCCTTTAATCAAGATCTGCTTTACGCCAAAGCTTTCTGTTTATTTGGGGGGAAATAAAAGGTTCAAGATCCACCCAAAGGTGCTATAGATGAGATGGAAGAAAGCATTCCAGTGATAAAGACACCAAATCGTAAGTGGGGAGTTTTACAGGAGATGATGAGAAGAATGGATGCTCTTGGAAATCTTGGAGGGGCATAGAAGTCGCTCTTAAACCATGACGTCCAGATATAAATTAAGATGCGCTCAGATGTGAGAGATTGCAACACTCGCAGCCGATATTCAGTGCTCCGTGGGGTACGCAGGCCCACCCTGGCAATGCCAAGCCACAGCATGCTGTTCCTCACGCTGGCGTCAGGAGGGATGCTTGGGAGGGCTCTCCCAGGATGAGGTGGCCGAGCCCAGCATGCTCCGCACCACGGGCCATGCTAGGTTCCTCACCCAGACTTTCCGTTTGACTCTTGCAGCCACCCTGGGAGGGGATGTACGTTGCCGTCCCCACTGTGTAGGTAAGGAGACTAAGGCCAGAGAGACCAACAGTGGTTGCAGGCCTCACAGCTCCTAGGGGAGTGGAGATTTCAACTCAGATTTTCCGGACTCCAGAGCCCACACGACTAACCACTAAGCAGACTCCTCCACAACCCTAGACTTCTGGAAACTAGCCTGATTCTAAACTCTGAAATCTGCAACCAAGGTTGATAAACGATGTTGTTCTCTCCTTATGTGGCGTGAATCAAAGCCGCCCCACCCCACCTCAGAAATTCCAGACCATCGGAGGAAGGCCAGGGTTCCTGCAGACACCAGGCCTCCGAGCCCACGGAAGGGAAGGCAGCACACGAGGATGTGGGTCCTGGCCTCAGCCTGTTCCTGCCTCTTCCAGACGTGAAGTCTTGCAGCCGGGCTGTCTGTGCTCAACTGCGTGCTCACTGCTGAAGTCCTGGGGTCTGGGTCCACGTGTGGCCCTTGGAGTCCTAGGCGGGCTTTGCCAGCGTGGCTAGAACTCAGCTGTATTTTTCCACCAGGACTTCCTGCCCCGGGACCTCCATTACCACCTCCTGGGCGGCCATTCTGACAGTCCCTCCCCGCCCCCACCAGCTCCCCGCCAGCAGTCCTCCAGCTCCAGCCCTAAGAATCCCCGTGTGCAAGGAAGACAGCGCAAGATCGCGTGTGTATAGCTCGCTTCTCTGCTCACGAAGCCAAATTGAGTAGCATCATAGGTTTGTTACTGGGGTCGAATGAGAGAACCCCTGCAAACACTTTGTCACAGTGCCTGGCACTGATAAAGTCCCGTACGCGGCGGCTACTATTGCTGTTGAGTGCGGATGGGGGCCGGGTAAACCGAATTGACGTGAGGCCTCAGACAGGTGGAGCCGGCATGGGGCTCTGTGCTGCCCGCCTTCTAATCTATGCAAAAGACCAATGACGAAGTCCGTTACATGTCACTAATCAAGTCAGTAAGTGACCGGGGCACCAGTCTCTACTTGGTCAGTTCATGAAGACACTGCTTTTGAATGTTAAGACGGTTGCCTCAATCCCGGCTTCCAGCCGCATGGGGAGGCGCTCCCAGCCCACCGTGGCTGCCTGGGCCCTGCCCTTTCCTGCCTTCTCCCAAGAACTCCACGCGGAGATTGTGCCCGACTCCCCGCCAAGCCGGAGTCCGGCTGAGAACCGTGATGATGCGGCTCAGGGACAGAGCTGCCGCATACGGATTCTGACTTATGGACGCCTGGCTGGCATGAGTTGTGACTATGGGGCTGGCTCTAGAGCAGACCCTCTGTGGTCCTGTCCTCCCTCTCTGAGGGCCCGTCCTTGAGCTCTGACTGTGAACAGGCTGAAATGTCCCCTTCCCACTTCATCCAGTGCCACCATGGCCCTGAAGTGGCTGTCTGTCCCCTTTAAGGCTCCCCCCCCACCCCCACCCCCATCATCCCTTTAACATTTCTAGGAATTCTGGTCTTTAAGTCTTTCTTCCCACCGGTGGTGGGAACTTTTGAGCCACACCCATAGCATCAGTCACCTTCTGAAAACCAGCAAGGACGCCCAGATCTGTGGCCCTGAGCTCATATTTCCAATTTCATTTGGACATTCGCACCTGAGTATCCCCAAGGCCCCTCTGACCCCACATTCCCTAGAGCAGTGGTTCTGAACCTTCCTAACGCCGCGACCCTTTAATACAGTTCCTCACGTTGTGGTGACCCCAACCAGAAAATTATTTTCGTTGCTACTTCATAACTGTAATTTTGCTACTGTTATGAATCATAATGTAAATATCTGATATGCAGGATGTATTTTCATTGTTACAAATTGAACATAATTAAATCATAGTGATTCATCACAAAAACAATATGTAATTATGTATGTGTTTTCCAATGGTCTTAGGCGACCCCTGTAAAAGGGTCGTTCGACCCCCCAAAGGGGTTGCGACCCACAGGTTGAGAACCGCTGTCCTAAAGGAAAAGTCAATAACCTCTCCCTACATTCACCCTCCCTAAACCAGCTTCTTCTGTTGGCATAGCAACCTTTCCAAACCTGCTTCCTATGTTGGCATAGCAACCAGGCCTAGCTTTCTCCCCCTCAGCCTTCACAGCTCACTTTTAATATTTAGTTAGCAAATTCTCTTTATTCTCTCTGCAAAACTTCTTAATTCCTGCCTTCTCCATCCCACTGCCGCTATCTTAAAAGACCTTTGTTAGTGTTCTTTTTCCCTCCAGGATTGCCTTTCTTCCATCCAGGAAGCCCTGTGCTGACATTTGTCA